CTTAAATTTCAGAGTTTGAAATCTAACCCAGATGGTACATGCTGGGTGTCCGTCTGATCCTGATAAGTGCTGAGCATCTGCAATCTGATTTCAGTGGAGGCTGCAGATGCCTTAGCGCTATTCTGGATTAGGCCCTATTGCTCCGTATCCCATGACTGAATATTGAAAGACAAAATTTTATTTTGCGATCTACATGATAGAACTTAACACTGATATGTTTCTCTCCTCCCTTCCAATTATTAATCCCTTGCTGTTCCATATTTAACTGTTCCATCACTCACATTTGAACAAAAATAGTTATACATTGGTCACTCTTTATTTTGTGTGTACTTCAAAACTGGTCTATTGAAGAATGCCTGCCTATTTAGACTCATTTTTTTAATTCTACTGAATTCTTTACCTGCAGCTATTTCTACTGTTGTGGGTTATGTATACATCCTTTAGTCTCCATTTTCTGTGCAATTTCCACATTAATGTAAGGAATATTGGAGAGACTCACTCAGAGAAGGGTTCTGTCTCCAGTTGAGATAGTATATGAGAATCGCCACAGAGACCCAAGCATTTCAACACGTGGCCGGAGAGATTCCTGCTCACTTCTGGATCGTGAGCGTATTTTCTGTCTAGTGTTATCACTACCGTGCCCTTCGGACATCACCCTTTAGTGTTACTGCTAAGAGCACCAGCATCTGGGGACAAGACTCCTGAGAAGAACGGCACTGCATTTGGTGCCACCCTGAACACCTTAAAGTCACACAGGCCCAATTTGTGCCTTTAGGTCTAGCCCTGAGACATGGGCAGTGCACAGGCCCATTGCCCATAGTGGCAGCACCAGGAGGCTTTGTACCTCAGAGGGTTTCTCTACACTGCAGCTGGAAGCATGCTTCCCAGTACCAGTAGCAGATGTAGTGCACTAGCAGGAGAGGTGCTAGCACAACTAGCAATATAGCTGGGGGGTGAGGTGGGGGAAGAGTAGCATAGGCGGTGGCTTTGGCTAGCCACCTGAGTACAAACCCACCCGGATCTCCAGGGTACGTACTCAGGCGGGTAGCCCGAGCCACCATCCATGCTACCCCTGGCTACACTGCTAATTTTAGGGTGCAAGCTCAAGAAGCGCTATCATTGGTATGTCTATGCAAGCTGGGAATCATACCTCCCAGCTCAAATAGAGATGTATCCTAAGGCTCCCTTGATGCACCGAGGAGAAGAGTATTTTGCTACAGCCCTTAAAAAGTCGGCTCACCTTCCCCCTGTGCTTATTCATCTGGACAACTCTACTCACCAGCTCTTCCTACTCCTGCTCTTCCCTGCCCTCTAGCTGCGGGGTCCAAACATCAGATGGATAGCCCGGGCTCACCCCTCTCATGTTTGGAACCATGATCCAGTGCTAACATGGTCTTACTCTCCTTTGCACAGTCACATTAGACCCATGTACAAGCTAGCCCTGGGGTAAGCGGGTACAAATCCCACGAAAGTATATGAAAGTCAGCCCATTTGGTACAGGGCTGCACATGGCCCTGAGTTTGCTTTTTATCTATAGTTATTATGACATGGACAACCACATTATCAGTCCAAGCCAAGAACTCCCTTCTCTTCGTGTGTCATTATATAATGCCTGCATCTGTAATTTTCACTCCATGCATGTGAAGAAGTGAGGTTTTTTACCCACAAAAGCTTATGCCCAAATAAACCAGTTAGTCTTTAAGGTGCCACCGGACTCCTTGTTGTTTTAATTAGTTCCATTGGTTTTCAATGGGGACTGCTCATGTGAGTAAAATTGTCAGGATTTGGGAACTGTTGGCCAAAAAGGAGTGGAAAATCTAAGTAAAAGTGATTCTTTATATTGGTATCTCTATTCCACTGTTTTCTACCTTTTAACATTTAAAAGATTCTTTCCTTCACTTCAAACCAAGGATAAACAATACATACACACCATTCCATTTGGTATTTGAATAATATCTCATTATTTTTAACAGCAAATGGTGCAGTGTCAGATTCATACAGGGCAGGTGAAGAAGTTAAATATAACCGCAAATGCCCAGCAATATTGCATATTGTCATTGTACATAAGCAGCAGCCTGGATGATTTTAGTCCACTTTTTCATCGCATATGTTTTTAGAGTAAAGTTAAGTTAAACTGAATTCAGCAGCAGATCTACAAAATCAGTTCCATTCAATAAGAATACACAATAAGAGCTTGGTGAACATTTTAAAATATGTTTCTTAAAATTAATAGTTTATTTGGTGACACTGCAAACTATATTTGACTTTTTGTAATTATAAAATTTGATGCAATTTTCAGATTGAAAAATCTATCATTCCCTTACAGTAGTTGCCAGGGAGCTTTTGATTAAAACATGTATAATGATGATGAGAAAAGAGGCAAAGAATTATTCAGAAACAAAATAATAGGATGGGATTTTCAAAAGTGCTCAGTGTTGGTTTAACTCTGTTCATCTTAATGCCAATAGGAGTTTTTTACTTTAATGTGAGTGGAGTTAGGCCAGCACGAAGGGCTTTTGAAATTCTCACCTGTAGGCTTTGGGTCAAGCTTTTAAAAATGAACCTGTTTTTCATTCACAGCCTATAGGCACAAATAATTGCAGTCTTAATACAGATTTAGTATCTGATTATGCTGTAAATTAGGTAATTGGATCCTAAATTGCACATGAAAATAATTGTGTGCATAAAATTGTCCCTCAGTTATTTCCACCTGCAAAATTATGGATGAAAATATGAAGGCCCATTTTATCTGTTGCCCAAAAGATAAAAGTATACAAAGTGTCTTTTAGGGGGAAATGTATCTGTTACACATTAGCGATTATAGAGCTGGTTAGAAACTTGAATTTCCATTCTGCAATAAATTCTGACATTTTGAAAACAAATTTGTTGCAAATCAGAACAAAAAGCCAAAATTTCCTGTGAAAAATTCAAAAATATTTCAATTTGGGGCTATCCAATCACTTCATTTCACTAATGGAGAATTGTTTTGTTTTGATAATGTCAAAACATTTCATTTTGATAAGTGTGAAATGCTTCACTTTGATAAGGTAAAACATTTCATTTTTACTTTATTGATTCAGTTAATTTTTTTACCTTTATTTTAAAATATTAAATATAATACATAGAGATCATACATCATATTAAATATTTTACTAAACATAAAAGTCCAAAATGAATTAATGATGAATTCAAAATGAAACATTTTGACGTTACTGAAATAAAATAAGAGCGTTGAAATGATTTGTTGAAAAATTTCTCAAAATTGACACCTTTCCTGCAAAGCATTTTGATTTTGACAAAACTGCATTTTTCAATGGAAAACACTTTTGGTTTTTGACTATCTCTAAGCTATTACAAGAACAGGTGAAAATTTTACAGACAATAAACAAGCCCTGTATAAACATCACATTAGTAGAACTAAAACTATACCCAAAGCAGCTTTCATTTGACTGGGAAAGGTCTGAGCATATCCCTAACAAAATAATACCCATTCTTACAGATGTCCAAGACTTGAACTTGGCTGGCAGTGCTAGTCTGGCTCCCACAGAAGTTTGAGTATGTTCTGAATAAAATGTTCTTCAATATATGCTTTGAGTTCAGGAGATGTATTGCACTGAATGAGCTGCTATGGCTTCAGCAGAAGTCTGAAGGTATAATCTGTCATGCTCTAAGAACCTTCAGTGGGGGGATTGTTTTTCCATCCCAGGCAGATTATTTGGAGAAATAGGCCATTCCTGCATTTTTTTTATTTCTGTGGAGCTCTCATTAAAGTCAATGGGAATTTGATTTGTGCAAGAGCTACAGGATTAGGCCAGTAGATGGTACAAAGCCTTGGCTAACTATCCCAGAATGATAAATAGGCCTACAGGAAACATCTGGTCAGTACTCAAATCATTGTCACCAGGTGGTCAGAGGCTTCCATCAGCTTTCAGTGACCAATTGTTTTATTTTTGCCTGCAGAAATTCCAGTGGCACTACATCCAATGAAGAACATGGATTCCACGTAGGGCTAGAATGTCAAAGGCTCTTGAAAGCTGGTCCAATTTCCACTTTGCCAGACATTATGACAATGTAGTGAAAACTAATTTTGGATAATGAGCAGTCAGCAAGAACAAAGCATCTTATAAGTATCTGTTGAGAATATAGTTGAACCCACTTAAGCAAGATTTGGATCATCAGAAAGCCTTTTTCATGGGACAAACCTCAGGGAGCCAATTATCTTTTTCTCTTAAGTTGAATTAGTATTTTGTCCCTTTAGTGGGACAATTGTAATTGCTCAAGAGGACGGGTGGGATAATGCTAGCCCATAAGGCCTTGCTAATTAGATTTAGAAATGTTAATGTGGTGATTCAGGTTACAAGATGCTGGTGGGTTTTATTCTCTACTTGTCTCACACAATGGCAGCTAGGAAGGAAATCCATATTAATGTGTTGCTCTTTAATACTAATATGAATGTTTTGATCTTTTAAATTGGTACAGTATTGCAAGATAATTAATTTTGTGCAGTAATATCTGGTACATAAATGTAATCATGATTAAGCTGAATGAACTGAATTGCAGAGATGTGGCAGAAATATCATTTGGATAAACTTAGTTTAACTGGAACTGCTGCCTAATTAGGATGAATTGGAATCTATCAAAGCATCTTGCATGAAGAGGCTTCTGCTGTACATAGAATTCAAATGGCTGAGTTCATTCAGAACTTGCAAAGACAGAATGCTATATCTTTATGGTTTCTGCCTCCTCACAGTTAGAAGATGCTATGAGAATCTCCCAAATAAACTATAGCAGATTGCCTCACCTTTAGATACATACATCGCTTTTCCCCACAGGTTGAAATAAAGCAGTGACCTCTGAGTTAAGTGTAGGGGCAGATTCTTTGCAGAAGATAAGAACTTTTGGAGGGTGATACTGATAATGCTTGCACAATCTTTTTTGTGTGATAAGAAACTGACTTTTTCCATTTCTGTTTTTCTTCTTGCTCATCTTATGCTTAAAAGAACACTTTGAAAGCATCAAATGCCAGGTGAATGTCATCAAGTTCAGAATGATCCCTGTGCTCCAGCATGGATTTGAATACAAAATCCTTTTAGACTTGTGGCTCAGCAATTTCCACAACAGCTCTTTGAAACCATGTATACCAAGGTTAGTTTTTGCATTTATTCATGATCACGTTTCTCCTTCGGTTGTTTCACATTCATTTTTAGAACATGTCTCTTCAACAATATGAGCGGCATCAATATATAGTCATTATAGCTGTGCTTGGCATTTACCACGTCACTCTAATATTATTTCTCACAGTGCAAGGTGTGTATATGTGTGAGCATCTATTGCTGGATTAATACTGACTACATGCCAGGGTTTGTTGTTACTAGACTAAATCTTCCTGCCTGAATCTCCGACATAATCACACTGTAAAGTATTTTCTGTATCCTGTGACTGTGATGATTCTTGCTATCAACTAATGGTCAAATAATCAATACGTTTAAAAAATAGAGCCAAATTCTTGTCTTTCAGCCTGTGCAACCACATTGCAGTCCCAGGAGGGAAGTAAAGACAGAGATTTTGTTCCATAGAATTTTAGTGAAGGCAGATAATCGTAGGTTCACCTAGTCCATCCTTTCCTATAGTTGAACAAATCCTGTCTTCCAGCATAGTATGTTGTCAGTACTTCAGAAAAGCACTTGGCTGTTCTTGACTGCTTTTATGATGGATGTTACATGGCCCGTATGGAGTGGTGCAGAGTTATAGTGTGTGTGCATATGTAACATGGATGCTTCACTTTTTGTTTATTTCACAGGGCAAGCAAGGTGTGCTAACTGTTTTTTTCCATTTTTGTCTTGCAAGTGCTGTCACAGTTCTTTGTTAAAAGTTAGCTGGTTTGTTGGTTTAAAATGTGTTGAAAAGAAAAATATAGGTCAAGTTTAAAGTGATTTTTATTAATAAATAATATTTAATGATATAATGGAACTGATCAGTGAGACACACAAAATAATACAGTAACTCCTCACTTAACATCCTCCCACTTAACATTGTTTCAAGTTACATTGGTGCTCAATCAGGGAACGTGCTCGATTAAAGTTGTGTAATGCTCCCTTATAACATCGTTTGGCTGCCTGCTCTGTCCACTGCTTGTAAGATTCTGTGGAAGAGCAGCATCTTTACAAAGGAGCATTGCACAAGTTCCTCTTCTCCCCCCATTCCCCACAGTGCTTCCCCCGCCACCAAACAGCTGTTTGGCGGCGCTTAGGACTTTCTGGGAGGAAGGGGAAGGAGCGGGGAAGCGCTGTGTCTCCACTCCTCCCCCTCCCTCCCAGAAAGTCCTAAGCGCTGCCAAACAGTTTGGCGGCGCTTAGGACTTTCGGTGGGTGGGGGAGGAGCGGGGATGCGGCATGCTCCGGAGAGGAGGTGGAGTGGGGGTGGGAAGAGGTGGGCCTGGAGTGGAGCGGGGACAGGATTTTATCTTAAATGATCAAATTAATAAAATATATATTGTATAACTTATATATTCTGTGTTTTAAAGAAACATACTAATAAGTAATGCATTTATAGACCATATGAAACAAAGAGGAATACATTATGGTGGAAAAGATGAGGGAAAATAAATAGGAGAATGGGAAATCAGAATGAATTGATGAGAAAGAGAAGACACAATGGTCCCAAATTATTTCACACTGGTAGGTATGATTTTAATGTATAAATGCTTATATAGTAACCTGTTGGAATTATTTTTGGAAATTATAATGACATGGGAAAAAGTCAAGCTATTATAACAAAAATCATTTTGTAGCTGGACAGCCACATTATTGAATTTAATTGAAATCCTCACTTTAGTTTTAATTTCTCTCTGGACTGGGACTAGAGAGCAAGCAAATTATAGAGTGTGCTTTTGGTGTGAGAAAGCAGAAGAGGAAGGGCCTGATTCTGCAAACACTTTCTCATAGTAGTAACATGACACCTGATAGACCTGGTGGGTGAGGTAATATCTTTTATTGGGCCAACTTCTGTTGGTGAGAGAGACAGGCTGTTGAGCTACATAGAGCTCTTTTTTTCAGGTCTGGGAAAGGCACTCAGAATGTCACAGCTAAATACAAGGTGGAACAGAAGTGGCCATCTTGAATGTGGGCCCTTGATCTCAGCTGACAAGTGATCTCAGTGGTAAGAATTATGTCTGGTTGTTAGTGTTCACAGGATGAGGCCTTCCATTCTTAAACCCTTATAAATTGAATGACCGAATGCAGACTTTCTAATTGACACTATTCTCCTGAACACCTGAGAGACCGGATAAGTCATTGTGATATTGCAGTGGCCTGTTACCCATTGATCCCGTCCCGTGAACACCTAATTTCGCAGGTCCCATCCTCTCTGTGGCCAATCCACCCATCTGAAGTGGGCCGCTTAAATACT